TGAAGATAGATAGACCTTGGTAAATTAATAGGCGAGCTAATCTGTCATAGCTACGCTCACACAAGGAATAAAACTTTTATTATAATACTTTTAAGATACATACTTTATTTGCTTGAGATACAAAATTACTTTTAGCGTCCAATTTTGTGCAGGTTGTTGTCTTTAAAGAAACCAATTCGAAGAAATTAATAAGCACGTACATAAAAGTTTTCTCCTCTTAATTTTGAATCCAATACGGTAATTAAGATAAGAATTTCTATTAAGATGCCATAATATTTTTTATTACTACAAGTTGACTTTTTGGTCGTAAATATTACGCATTGCTGGTGAACATTTTACAGTAAAAATTTGTAGAAATAATACATTAGTATCTGTAAATGAGAAAATTCATGTTAATAGGTTAGCTGGATACATTACAATGTATTCCAATACAGTAGGAAACTAATACCGAAAATTTGTACTAAGATATTATAAGTTAACCAAGATATTTATGAAGATAAAGTCATTAGTAACTATTACAGCATTATATTTACGACATTTCTGTAAAAGTCAGTAGCGGAATGGGTCTGTCTTATGATGTCTAGATACATTACAGTGGCTTAAAATAATATCAAATATAACCTAACAATAATACAAAATTTTATGATTTTAAACAATATTTTTTTAAATGATTCGAAAGGGATTACTATCAACTTCATGATTGCTATAAAGTATTCGATTTCATGCTATTTGTGTTCAATTTAAAATCAAGTTATTCAATTCTAAGAACAAGATTTATGCCCTTACCTGCAGTCTAAATATAAACTATATTTTTTCTTCTTTACTATTGATAGTGAATACGAGTATACTACTTAATAGTATTACTTAAAACTAAACAGTTTGACGTTTTACTACGTAGCGAACTTTTAATAATGGCGCTTTAGTTTTGGATTGTACCTGATTTTTCTCCTAAAGGATAGGGTTCTAAATCATAGAAAATCAATCAGTCAAATGCACTTACGATCAAGGTCTAATGCGATGATTTATTTAGTAAACAAATAGTGTTATTTACCAACAGATAAATTTTATTTATCACGGTTGATGGATTTTGCAGGATGCGTTATTTCTATTTCTTTCGTGAAAGTCTGAAATGGGACCGCATTGTGATGCATTTACCTTACAGTATTAATAAGAAGTGGAATTTCATTAGGGTATCACTCACCTATTATAAATAAGTGGTAGTCCTTTTAAAAGTCCAATGTCTAAATTTTTTTTCTTATTCTACTGAAAGGAGATTTACGTACCCTTTTTTTTTTAAGGAGCGTTGATGCTGCATACGATTTTCTTTGAAGCCTATTTTGCGATTAGAATGAGAGAAATCTGACCCTTAGGTACTGTACAATATTAAAATTGACGATACGGTAACGTCAACTGGAACCGTTAGGGTGGTTTACATAAAGATTTAAACATGATATCATGTGGATATAGATATTTTAAAGAATATCCAGATACTCCTAATGTAGTCATTTTCAAAACGATACATGTGCTAATGTCAGATTTTGATAAGTTCATATTTTGTTCCCCAACACACTGTAGGACAAAATGCTATTGTATGTATTTTGTGAGCCAATGATTTAATCTAAAAGGAAGTCTTTTTACTAAAATACTTACGCATACTCGACATAAAAGTAGTATCTGGAAATAGTATTAATTATGAAATGATGTATAGACTTCTTTCTCTAAAATCTGTCTAATATCTGTAGAGTGTCATTTCTTTTATCGATGATCTAATTGGCTATTGGAAGTAGTAGCTATTGTGCTTATCATTAATATGCTAGCATGCTAGCCACAGTTGGTCCTTTTTATTTCTCATTAGCATTAAATTAGCTGTAGACATCATTGTACTAATGCGGACTTTGATTTGTTTGTTTAATGCATTACATGTAAAGTGAACAATATGAACGTGATTAGGAGGAATATACTACTCTTTTGAATGCGCCACAAATTAGCTAATTTGCTTTCTTCATCAGAAATATAATTTCCTTCAGATTCAGCAGACTATGTCAGCTCCAAGTGAAATTAGATATTCAATATTTTAATTAAATTTATTTGGATTTATGTGATTGAAATTAATATTAATCTCGTAGCCGAAAAGTATCCGTGATGATGAAACTTTAGATTGGAGCAAAAATAATTCGCTTTTTACTAGTTATAATTACTTATAGCCAATTTTTTTATAGAAGGGCTAAGTAATTGATTAGCCTAGTGGTGAAACTCAACGGTTTGTGAACGCTACTTATAATACAGTAAGTAAAGGAATAGTTATTTATAACGTAAATGAAGTACTAGCGTTTAAAAGGATATTTTTATGACTGAATATAAAATAATTTCTTGTATATTAGAATACTACGCTTACTTAGAGTTTATAAAGTTGTTTATTATGTATTTCATTAATACAAATCTATTAATTATAATCTTTAGTAAAGCATTATCTCTATTGTCATTTAGATTTTTTTCAAGCCCCTTCAGCGGATTAAAGTATGGAATCACGTTATGAATAAATGAGCAAGCAAGCATTTTGAATTAAGCCAGAAAAGTAGGTGGATGAATAAAGGTCTGGATTGAAAAGCTTTATTTTATGGTTATTAATACTGATTGTACTTGTGATAATAACAACGGTAAAGAAAAAAATAGACCATGATGTATTAATAAGATTCTAGTTACCCTTGCAATTCAATGAATGCGCCTATTACTATAAAAGTTTATTTTAGCTTCATGCAATACGTTACCCTCACAGAGATGCTTTTAGTTCGTCAACAACATGTGATTATAGTCGCCCAAATTAGATATTGTGAGCAAAGCGGTGGTTTAGTAATTCCATAACAGCAAGATGAACGCTAGTACCAATATTACTTGATCATCAACTCTATCGAAATGACGTCACCTATGCTAATAAAGTGTAGTAAAATTAATTCTACTCATGTAATTAAGCATTGTATTCACTGAAAGTCTCAAGGGAATCCTTATTATTAGATAGGCTTATTCATAACTATTGCTATATACATGTGGCGGTATTAAAAAGGTGAATTTAATATAATGTTATAATAATCTTAAAATGAAAATACAGGATATATAGAGTATAAAGGTACCATGTCGATGTTATCACGAATGGATGATGTGCAAACGATGAAATACTTCAAGGTATAGTATCGAACACCTGCAGGCCAACATTTTGTCGATATGAAGTGAAAACAGACTCTGACATCGACATCACTGTAGGTGGAGTTAATTTACGAGAAATGGATGATTCTATTCTGCTGTAAAAACATAAAACAATGCTGTATAGGAGTGCATTTGTGTCATATCGCATCAATGCTGATAACATCTACATCAAATAGTGCAAAAATAGTAATCATAACACGGCCAAAGAAAGAGACTTTATAGGCTTATTTGACCATCATTTTGCTAGATATAGCGATGAAAATGATATTAAAAGTTAGCTGAGGTACTAGGTTGTCTCCATTTGGTCAAGCTTGCTATCAGTGTATTTATAACGGAGGTGGATAATATGATCGAGATGACGTTGATACATTCATTGCTCAATATTGGATAGTAGAATAGTTTGAACTCAATTATGGTAGAGTTTGGATAGTTGTTGGGTAATATTGTAATCATCTTTATTGTAAATATGTATTCAAATCTTACAATGCTGCTATATATTAATTCGATAGGTGGATACAATGATTGCAAAGTAGTGTGTGACGAAACTGAATACAAAAAAATATTACTTGGTCACATGTTGAAATTAAACCACAACTAGCCCACGTTGCTTAGTTTAGATACTGTACACTTGGCTGGTTGCTATGATATGGCACCATTCTATATACAGTCTACTTGTCGATAGAGTATACGCATAAATGATCACAATTATACAGTGAGAATAGTATAAGAAGTGATATTTATTTGCCTACTATGCATGAAAGCTGGCATTCCGAATACTTTTCAATCAGACTACATTATATTAACTGACGAATTTTCTACTTTGACCACTAAAATTACTGTGATTCAAGCAAGTCTAAATTAAACACTTTCATTTGTACGTTTCGAATGAATTAGAGATAGAAGTGGAGTGCTGAACACCACACTAGGATTTATTTGTACTTTATTTGTTATTTTTTTAACTCAATAAACGATCTGATTTGTAATTACTTTCGTTACAGTTTTCAACGAGACAGCGCTTGAATCGGCTATTTGAATCATCAATGAAGATTTGAAAGTACTGTAAGTCTATGACGGCCAATAATTCATCCGATCATCCTACTAGAGAGATCCATTTTAAATTGATGTTGAGCCAAAGAAATCGCAAGAATGCCATCTGTAAGATTGATTCATCCAGCATGAATCAGGACGATAGCCATGGTAATCAGTATAATCAGTATGGTTACACACTGAATCAAGATCCATCTCGTATTGTCCAACAAAATTATCAACAGGATCAAACATTAACAAAAAAGAAGTTAACCAACTTCTCTGTCGACTACATTCTTCATGAATTAAATAGTCATTGTGGCCGTAAGAAAGACGATCTGAAAAAATATACACATCAAAGTTTCGCAGGCGATATTTCGAACTATAGCAGCAGATTGAATCATATGAAGAATATATATTACCCAAACAGCCAGGCTCTCGGTCAGTTCTTGAATACTACAACAGCACCCAATTTCGTCTTCTCCAACCAACTTAAAGCCCGTTATGATACCCAGATTACATCTTTAGACCTGAAGCCATCAGTCATTAATTTACAATCGAAAATGTTACGACAAAATCTAATCGATCCGGTACCATCTAGTCACTCGAAGAAGATTGTGGATGAAAATAAGACCAAAGGATTGCTTGACGAACATGATAGACTTACGCGTAGTGGACGTGATATTAATGGACCGCATGCGGTGAATTCTTCATCCACTTCGAAACGTTTGAATCATAGCTTTCATCAACGTTATCCATGCAAAATATGTCAGAAATCTTTTGCCAATCCTCACTGTTTATCACGGCACATACGAATTCATACTGGTGAAAAGCCTTATCAATGTAATATTTGTAAAAAGGCTTTTAATCAATCATTTCACTTAACTATCCATAAGCGATTACACACTGGCGATTTAAGATATCAATGTAACATTTGCTGTCGACGTTTTGTTCAAAGTAATGATCTCAAGAAGCATTACAGAACTCATACTGGTGAGAAACCGTATCATTGCAGTTATTGTCAAAAATGTTTCGCCGATGCTAGCCAACTAAAAAAACACATGCGGATTCACACTGGCGAAAAGCCCTACAGGTGTATCGTATGTCAGCGTCGTTTTACGCAATCTGGAGCTTTAAAAAAGCACTCTCATATTCATCAGTGAATATTAGTAGTTATTCGTAATTCGTTTCCGTTTTACCATCTTTCTTTGGTGCTGTTTTCTCTCTCTCTCTCTCTCTCTCTCTCTTGCCATTCTATTACTATTACTATTATAGTCGTTTAAAATACTATGTCATACCTTTTATAGGACCTTTATCTTACGAACTAGGTCTGAAGATAAAAAAGTCCTTTTTTTCGGTGGCGTATTACTATGCGAATTTAGAATATTTCTTAATCATTTAAATGAAAACTTATATTTAGCCAATAATCTTACTATAAATGTTGATCACTTTGAAACAAAAATTAAGCATTCAGTGTCACAGTGTTATGGGTGTTTCTGTTTTTCTACACATTACTTCAGTGTTATTGTGCGTAATTAGCAATTGGAGTGGCCTTTAAGCTAGATATATTATCTATTCTATTCGACTTTTTAGCCTTCTTCACTTTCAATTCTGGTAATATAGGTGACATTAATTCGTGATGATTGCCGATACCTTTCTACCAGTGAATTATACGTACAATTGTGTCAAATTGAAGTACATGGTTATTCGTAGTAGAACCGTAAAATCCAAGTTGGATTTCAATCCTCTAAATCATATGGATTATTTATTGGATTCGAAATGATTTCATTATCATACTTATTCCTCTGTTATATAGCGTTTAGAAATTTAGTATAGCTGAAAAATTTTTAGAGAAAATGTCGCAATCTGATGTCAAGTAGAATATTGTAAACATCAATTGGGTCGAATGTGTGTAAAAATGCGCTCAGATGCATCAATTATATTATTACACTTGTCAAATCGAGTGCTCATCGATATTGATTTATTAGGTTGAATACTTTGAGACCTGATATCAATATATTGAAAGATCAAAATGTACTGTATATTGTATTAAGTGTAGAAAAATTGTATAGAATCAGTAGTCTTTCAAAGACAATTAATTTAACAGATGACATAGTTTACGACAAATGCTGCTGTTAACATCTTTCTCAGAGGAGCTGTTGCTTTTCCACAAAGGCAAATAAAGATTTAATGATTGAATAGGTTTACAACCTTCAGAAAATGAACTTGATCATAGTAAATTATTAGTATGTATTCTGATCTGGTGATCAACAGCTTATTAATCTGTTTGCTATCAAAATTAAATGTACAACAATGGTTAATCGTAGGAATATCTTCTATGGTTAAATCATCGCACAACATGGATACCCGCATGATTAATTGTAATTGTTTCGGCAAGTGTAATTATAATAATGTACTAGTTATATTCTATTAATATATAAACTGAAATTGTATAGCATAGCGCAAAATCTTCACTTAGGCTGTCAGCAAGAAGATATACATATAGACTTGCACGATAGAGGTTATCTTGTGAAAATTTTAGTGTCGAAGAATAAAAATTTTTCCACAGAAAGTGCTTTATTTGAATTTTATTTTTATTGATTTTGTATTTGGAGAAGTTTACAGCCTTAATTAGAGTCTTTCAAAAATTTAGTATAACAAGTTTATATTGCGTATACTATTTCTTATAAATTTGTATCTCTTTTTATTGCAGAATATATCATAATGTGTTGAAATGGTACGATAAAGATTAACAATGTGTGAACTACTGTAGAAAAATTCTCGTTATAGCGTTATCCTAGGTTAGTTGTTCATTCAAGTTTACTTATCTCTAGATAACAGATTGCATTTAATTACTTTAGTCTACGGTATGATATCTGCTCTTTATGCCGTTTTTACAACACCAATGCAATGGAGAAACTGCTTCCAATTGTAGCTAATCACAAAGACGTATCTTGAATCTAAACTAAATGCTGTTTATTTTTAAAAGTCATTCATTTATTTGCATATAGGATTTTATTCGCAAGCATCGATAGAAGAATGTGATAATATACAGTACATATTGATTAATGTTAATAAGCAAAGTCAGCGTTGATCCGTTTTCTTGAAATTTAGAGATGAACAACGATATTCTACATTGTAAAACATGTTAGATCACGGACATTTCACAAAATAGATAATAATCACGAGTAGAAATTGGCAAGCTTTATTCTTAACTAGATACCTAACCACCTTGCATACCTTCTTCAATAATGCACTATATTCTATGATTAAAGTTCTAAGCCAATTGAAATGTCTTATAATTATCCTACTGTCACAATATGATTTTAAAGAAGCATTATAAAGGTGATGGTTATGGAAACAAGGCTTAAATATCGATTTAGATTTTGCAGAGTGATCTAAAGTATCGTTGCTAAATATAATTACAGAAATAAAGCTTCAGATCAATTTAGATTATTGTAGTATGATCTAAACTACCGATAGAAAAGGTAATAAAAAAATGAGGCTTAAGTATCGATATAGATTATCATCTATCTAGAAAGCTGAGATTGAATTTCTCTTGTTTGATTACCAATATAGATAGCTAAATTTTTTTCGATAATTTTGCCAGATTATGGTGCGCATGTAGCTCAGAAGTCAAATCATGCATCAAAAGGAACTTTTCCAGCCAATATACTTATATTTGAAATAATAGAGGCTAATTTTTCTCCTTAAAGGTGCTGTCTTATTCGCTGATTGTTTTGTATGCACCCTTATCATCAACGCCACAAGAGATCGTATTTGATAATAGTATACAATCGCTCGATTGATTCAGCCACTAGTAATTTTCGGCTTAATTGTCGTATAGTTCCATTCTAGTATCCCTTTTTATAAATAAAGCGGCTCACCTATTAGATCTTCGAACTGAAAAATTTGTTGTTAGGTAAAAGAACTTGGCGAGTATCATGAATAATTAACGAATTTTATTGGTTAAGATGTATAGCTAAACTAATAAGTTGGAGCAATTTATACTGTAAGGTATGTTTTAAAAAGTGCTGTATGCAAGCATGTAAAAGTTCGTGTTTTATTGGCCATTCATGCCGGTCTCAGAATCTTAAAATTTGTTTATAGCTTATTGGACAGTCTTCTACGAAGTCATTTCGTGTGTACTGCATCTACAAGATTGCACTAATGTAATAATTCCTAATACTGATAAACTTCTATGGTAGTAGCGACAAAAATTGAAATTACAAATCCATAATAATTTATGAAATTGCAGTACAACTAAAGAGGTTTCGTGCACATCCTGAGAAAACGGTTCAGGATGACGATTTTACTAATTACCCTAGCGCCAGTAATTACTGCTTAATAATATAAAGCATCGCGACAAGAACAAAAGTCTTGCGTTCTGCGTAGCACTAGTACTACTTTTAGATAAAATCTATTGAGATTTGAAAGAATAAAATGGCTAGAAATCAATATTATTTTGAACAAGAAACAGATTTAACTTCTAGTTCAGTAAGAACTTACGCTAACTTTGGCAGATTTTATGATCGATTTTATTAGTAGCTTCGCTTACTTGTGTAGTGACAGAAAACTCAACATGGCACCGTTTGAAGCAATCTCTTACTCCAGTAAAATCTCCTATTATGTCTATGCATATCGTACTATTATATGATCTTTATCAAGCTATTAATTTTGTTTACTCAAATAATAATATTCAACATAAATTAAAAATACCCTTTACGTAGTAGATAGCACTTAAACAGCATTAATTAAACTTTTTACGGTATAAAATACGAATAATTGTATTGTTGCTTGGATATAGATTTAGTAACGCTAATTACAATTTTTTACTCGAGGCAAAGTAGGTCATTGGAAACAATCTGACCTTATTATACTAGTTATAAAATGTTAACATCCAATACGTTCGTATTTGCGCCAATCTTTTTATGTTTATCCCTTATTCATTATATTCAATTAATTAATATGCAGTATGCTGCAATAATTACAGAAATTAGTAGAGTGATATTATAAAGTACTTTTTTAAAGTACAGAATTACGAGGCTAAATTCAAAATCATCTTGACGTTGGCAAAAAATGAATTAATTAACAGTGTGTTATCATTAAGGAAGACTTTATTCAAGTTCTGAAATATTTAGATTTTGTGAGCGGAATTGATATTAGATCTGAAATAAAAATGTTGAACTAATTTATATCTTATTGTGAAATATCATTTTTTACTCATTTTATCTTCATTTTAGCTATGATATTAATCATTTATCGCTATGGTATAGTTTCATCTAATATTTCCTTGGCTCGATATTAGCATTTTATAAGTTATGATGTTGTACGATACTTTGGGCATGATAGTGATTTTTTTCTTCTAATTTATAAACTTTCAACATACGTTTATTTACGTAATATTTTCGCATTTATTTCTTATTAAAATGCTAACTCATGGTTTAATAAAAATGAATCGTTACCGCGACGTATCTACTTAAGCCACTTTTATTATAAGTTATCATCGCAAAAATTTCATTATTACCGAAGAAGAAAAGACGAGGATAAATGTAAATTACAATGGGCGAATTTTAACAAATTTTCTAGAACTAATGTGTGCTGCAAATAAATTATTTATTAATGAAATTCCTATCATGTTAAAAGGTATAAATAAAAGTTAGTTGGTTTATTTCGGCCAATTTGTAACGATTTTGTGTATCTTTTTTTATGTATTTTAATCATATACGATTACATCAAAAATTAACATGAAATTTCAATTGAGCATTTTCTTTATTAAAATTGACTGGATATCACTGAGAAAGCACTCAACTGACTTGAAATTTTCCGCTCTTTTAAAACTGCCATTTTAATATTGCAGATAATTGTTTAATAACCGCATTGTAGAGCTGAATGATCGTTGTGAGGAATATTAATGCAACATTGTATATTAATCATGTTAAACTAGATCAATTCAATGCATAATCAAATCAAAAATAAAGATCGGCAGTCGCTATATCAAGCTTATAAAATATAAGTCACGTACTCATATGATGCTCAAGATGTTAAGCCTGACTGTATTTACTTTGATAAATAATTTACTAACATTCACACATTTAGTAGTATTAGTACTTCTTCTAGTACTTTATAGTTATACAAATGAAGTTACTATGTAAATTGCGATGAGGTTATAATCACAAATTAGAACCATTTGCTCTCAGATAGATTGCTGTTAGCTATTTAAATTTATAAATGTACAACATTGTAAACACAGTGCCTTTCTATTTCATAAGTAAGGGCCTTGTTGTACTTTAGTTAAAGAGATTAACTGCTATTTGCTTCGTAATCATTCCAAGCTTATCGTTGATTAATTTTTAAACATAGTTACTTTCAATATAGAGTGCAGTGCATTTCATGAAATTAATGATCGTGTAAATAAATAAATAATTCCTAGTAAGCTCTGCTACACGCGTATTTACAATTCATAATGTTTAATACTTAAGATCAGACAAAGAGCTGTTATATCAACTATTTGATCAACTAAACATTAACTTAATACCGAATAGAGTTCGAGAATACGAATTTGGAATAAGATTTTTCTTGTTCTATCAGCTAAAGATTAATGTGTCATCGTTGCTTTTAAATATCAAAGAATTCTAAATATTATATAGTGTACGGAGCTATGTAGATGAGCTTGTGTGAATAGTTTTTTATTATAAACAGTAATAATGTAAGAGCATTAGATGCATACAACGACTTCTTTCTCTTTTTTTAAAGCGCGTCCTTGACATGATACCGATGCTCGGATTGCCTCTTACCGGTAATCATAATTATGATAACTTACAGTAGGATAACTCCTTCATCATTTAGTCAGGACATTTCTAGTGGTTAATATTGGTCAGGCGTTGATGCAGAAATTGTAAATGTTGAATTTAACACGAATAAACTAGCCTTGCCGTACATGTAGAGAGAAATGTAAATTCCGTCATTGTCATGGTTATGTTCGCGCGAGCAAAAATTGACGTTGTGAACTGATTGGAAAGAAAGATGTCAATACTGATCACTAGTAGCTTTTATGACGTTAACTCATCAGATTTGCAGTTAGTAGTTACCAGTTATCGGCAATCATAAGTAATTAAAATTGTTTGAGAAGTCTAAGCACCATCGTGTGCGCTGTTTGATTTAGTTACGTTCAGTAGTGAGACCCATCGTGACCTAAATCGTCTCAGTTAGACCGCAAGGTCAAATAATATTCAACGTCGTTTTGGATCATTACTTGATCTCAAATATAGAGTAACCCAGGCCTAGCAGACATCGGTCAGGTATTGATTATTTGCGTAGAAGTAGTCTAATTAGTATATTAGTCGGAGTACCTCGAGAATTTCCCGCATCTGCGGATGAAATAGTTCTTATACAATACGTTAAAAATACTGAATGGTAACAGGATATCACTCGAATAAATTTTTAGTCCTAATATTTTCGCTAGTTACTATTAGGGAAAGCGAGAAAATTGTGAATGTTAGAAAGGACACCATTACTAATCCTATTCTTGAGATACAGGAATGAAGAAACTTCTTAATAGCTTAATACCAACCATAACTACTTTTATTGGTCTACCAGCAATTACTTTTTATCGAACAGAAATTGGAGACTAAGTATACGCCAAAATAGTACTTACATTACAAAACTCGTACTTTTTATTGTAAGTTAGCTGGCTGATGTATCTCCTCGATCGATAGATACAGATCTACTACTCCATAAATGTATTTCAACATGAAAAAGCGTTAAATCTATCCAATTCAAATGTTAAAATTACTAACAAAACTTATTCGTTTGCACAATCCTGCTTAGACTACGAGCACTTTTAAGCTAAAGTGTCTTGGCTAGTGTTTTAACAAATACGTTAAGACCTACTTCAATCATTTGATGATGTACAAGAATTTAAATACCTTGAAATAAAGAAGATCTAAGGTAAAAAAAAATCGTAAAGAAAAGACATTGAACAGAAACTACTCAACTAAAACTTCTCCCTGAAAAGGCGTAATTAAAAAATTTCCACTAAAAATACATGTATTGTCAGTATCGGGGGGGGGGGGGGATTACGTTAGCTATGGCTTTGAGGGAGAATTTTTACTTGAGTAGTCCCTGTAGTGAACTAGAGGGGATAGATTAAGAACCGAAACTATGATCTATTGACTAAAATAGTAAAACCTAGAAACGCAATCGTGCTTGGATTCTCTTTATCATTAGCAAAGGAAACGAAATAATGGAGCACAAATGATTAAAACATTAGCGAATTATACTAGTTTAGATAACTCGCCTTGACTGAAGTCATGAACGAGGCTATTGAACCGTCAGCCCTAGACTTCAAAATATTTATGTTGGCTAGCTACTTTTTTAGCTTATGTTTTTATGATCGAAGTACGCTTTTGGAGATTTTTCAATTCAAACCGGCTAAGATTAACTCGGTTACTCTGCTCAACTTGCTGAATAATATAATAAATAAACTCAATTTACGATTATGCATAGTAAACAGTACAGGTATGTGTAAATAGATACGCGCGTTGATTGCTTTATAAAAACTGCAAAGGAAGCTCACCAAACTTACATTATCGTTTATGATATTTCATTAAAGGCAAGGTTTCTTGTCCACAATTTCAATGTATTATCTATCTGGTTGTTAGCTACTGCTATGCATGAGACTTATTACGCGTATGACTTTAATGTTAGAGTTAGCAAGATCTAAAACTGGGAGAAGATCATTCACCTGATTGGCGAACTGTTACAATAAAAAAAGATTTTAAGTTTAACTTTTAATACTGCTTTGACATGTTTAACCCTATCTAGCATGATTGACGTAGTAGCATTTGCAATAATAATATTAATAGCAACCAAAATGCAGCCTTTTCTGCTTACTGCATCATACAGTAATGACGCATCGTCGCGTGTGTTTTGTATACCATAGGAGAGCCTTGTGGATATGTCTAGAAGCTCATACTGTCGTACAATAGGCTACTACTGTAGAGTAGAATAACCTTTCTTCACTTAGGATACCTTATAGTATACTGTACACTATACACCACAGAGGGTTTGAGCGATTGTGGACATATTTTTGAACATTATTTGCATTGATTGACTAGGCCTACCCGTGGTCTACTTTAGTCACCACTGACCATATTGGCGTAGTTAGGTCATGTAGGCATACTATTTCTGATGCTGTTGAGGATGAACGCGTAACTTTGATCATTTGGAAGTAGCCTAGAGCACAGAACGAACAATATAGTGCAACTTTGATCATCAAAAAGCAGCTTAATGTAGTACAGTATAGCTTAGCTTGTAGAGGGCTTGAGGAAGCGCGGACTTATTTTGTACATTATTTGCATTGGTCTGCTCGGTCTACCATAGTGACCACTTACCACATTGGCGTATTTAGGTTATGGAGGGCATACTATTTCCGATACAGTACAGGATGAACGATATAGTGCAACTTTAATCCTTTGAAAGCAGGCTAATCTAGTGCAGTATAGCTTTCAGTGGGCTTGAGCAAAGGGTGGACTTATTTTTAACATGATTTGCATTGGTCAGCTAGGTCAAGTAGGCATACTATTTAAGATACCACAGGATGAACGACATAGCGTAACTTTGATCTTTTGCAAGCAGCTTAATCAATTAAGTATGTTGGCAATCTTTCTATATGTATTCTGCCTTCATCAATTAATTCTTCGCTCCATTTTCCATCTCATACTGCATTAGCTGCAGCGGACATCATCCTCTCCATTCAATAAGTCGGTCCAACGAGTTACCTACCCGTACCTATCACCATGGATACCCAACCATTTCCTGGACTGTAGTATAGTCGAAGGGTACCGTAACAGTCCACCAGCTGTCAGTCTGTAAGCAGAACCTACCAGCTGCGCACAATCACTAGCTCTACATGGTCTATCAACATTAGAACTAATATGACAACTAGGCAGACACCGTAGTCAGGTTAGCTAGCAATCGCGTTGATTTTTGCTAGAGCTAGTGGATGCTCGATGCCAAGCAGATCATTAAATTGTGCAATTTTACTCATCAATTGTACGTCTATTACTACCGATATTGACTGCTACAAAAAGTGACGACACAAAGTTGATTTTACTGTAGTATGATAGTCCTCTTCTGCTGCTGGCGCTTCTAGAAAAAGAGAGCGACTGTTGCAGATTGATCGACAAGGTGATCGTGAAATAGAGGACAGCTAACATCCTAACAATATTGCCAGTGACTACCAAAACAAAAAACGGATCAACTAGGGCGAGGAGGATATCAATACGAACAGCAAGCAAGAAAAAAGGAATGACGACTACAGTGAAGAAGTATCCCAGTCTGTACCTGCAGAGCGATTGGAATTTAGCTTTGAGGTTTGAGCAATAAAGTAGATTCAATTCTACTGTAACTAAGTATGCAAATATAAGAAAGGAGATTTGCAGCGATCAGTATACAGTAGAAAAGTCAAGGACTGTATAATGTAGTACGGAATAGAAATCATAATTGTACTATGCATGTAGACAGTTTAGACAGAGGCTATAAGTAAGAAAAATCTGCACCATTTTTCTATCTAATTTGTAATTCACGCTTGCTCAATATCAATTGGCCTCATTTGTTAAGAAGATATAGTATACTTACAGCGAGCCAGGCTTAATATCTATGATGGCATGCAGAGTAGTCCTCATTTGCATCGAAAATTCTCCTGACAAATTATAATTAAACGGAATTTTACCAGTATTGGTATAGCTGCATTAATTGAACGACTTGGATACCTACTTAGCAGTCATTTAAACAATGGACTTTTTGATGCATTTCTTTAGAGAGGCCAATGGAAGTGCTTGGGTATCTTGCAAGCTAGGTATGTCATCGCTGTATCGTGACATAGACACACATTCTATAGCATGCATAGAATGCATGTTGTGCCTATCCTACATGGAGAGTCAGTAAAAATATCCAGTTTATGAATATACGTCTTGAATGTCGCCTTCAGTTAACGAGACGCAATATCGCTTGTACGTCTGGAGTAAACTTAAAATAATTACAGTGTGTAATTGAACCTATATGGTGTATATGGATGCTATCCATACACATTTTCATTGCATTTTACTTCTCTAAAAGACTATGCTACTGTAGAATAATAAAACTGGACGAACGAACAATTCATCGTGCAAGCCGCGTGATATCAACGAGCTCTATATTATTTTCTATTCACTCTTTCAGGTGATACATCCATTCGTGGTAGTATTAAATGCTTCGAAGATGGGACACACGAAGTATCAGAAGAATTTTGCGTTACTAATATCGAGCAGGTAAGAAGCTCTTATCAATATTAGGTGCAATTTCTGTAAATTGTAAATACTTGAGCGTAAACAAGTACGTTTTCATTTACTGAAATATAATGTTACAATTTGAAAAGTTCACTATTGCTTATGCTAGAGGGAAGATTTGTTGTACTTGTATTAGGCTTGCAGGCAGTATTTATTATACCATGCTGATTTTATTGTCGTGTCGAATGTTAAATTGACTTTATTTGATCACGGCTATAATGGTTATTATTGGATGTAGCTTTAATTTACAAGATACATTATAATACTCTAGCTGTGAATTTTCTTGTAATTTTTGGATTTGTGGAGATTATAGACCCGTACATTGGAATGGGTAATTTACTAGTAATTATAATTTGTGCACCATTTGAATTACTTTAGCTTTAAAGTAAGAAATAGAGTATATACGACTGATATAATGATCTTGCGGATAAAGTGTGCTCACTTATACTTGCAACATAAATCATATTATTTATTTTTATAATTTGTGTAGAATCCAATTACAATTACTTGCCCAAGGAATCGATGTAAAGCTGATTTTTTGGCTCCAAAACAGGAATATCCTCGGCATCATCGTGGAAGTGTAAGCTTAATTCAGTTAGAATGATATGATTTCATTCTATCTCGGAGGCATGTCAGTAATGTAAATGTACATAGTTGAGTACTGTGCCTCTCTTGTGTTATAGTAATACTTATGAGCAGTTGTAAATGTACAGTTCAGTTGAGCACTGTTCAAAGTAATCTATAGGTACATTACTAAAACGAACATAGCAAACTTATACTTTGCAAACCGTTACTGCATTGATAATAAAGTTAATATATTGTTTAATGGGGTTTCTAGGTACGAACTATTGATGTCAGCCCTGGAGGTAACTTAGCAGTATCAGCTGGAAGCGATAGTACTATTAGACTATGGACCACTGATAATGGCGCAATTAGGGTACAGTTATGTTGCTATTAATTTCTTGATGAGATAAAAAATTTGAAGCTACAACTATTTAGCTACCCATTTTGTATACAGCGGTGATTCATATGACAAGACATTTGTAATATTGTTTTCTCTTTATCGAAACTAGCGTGAATTATGTGGACATCACAATGATGTCACATCATGTAAGTTTTTCCCTTCGGGAGTTGTACTGTTATCTGCATCTTCAGATATGCAAATTAAAATTTGGTCAACGGAAGATGGTTCAAATCCTGCAACATTTAGAGGGCATACATCGAGTATGTTAGACTGCAAACTTATAGCATTTGTTCAATAGACAGGGCTTTACAAAGTTTTTTACGTTACTGCTTGATTAATTTGTTATTCATAAAATAGCTGTTACAGACACTGCGATTATCGGGCGTGGTAGAAATATTATATGTAAGTTTCTTTAATTACAGTTATTAATGCTCATCATTATATTAAATATCATAAATTATACTATAAGTAACTAATTAATAATAATTAACTATAGCATGCGGAACTGATGCAGCCGTGAAACTTTGGGACTGTGGACGAAGTAATTGCCTTGATACTCTTCTTAAAGCTGATTGTCCCATTAATGCGTGCGCATTAGATAATGATCAAGCGGCAGTTGGTTTAGCCCATCGCGGAACAGCAACAAGTAACTAAATTATGATGAATTACAGCTTATAACTAGGATATAATAGCATATTGTTGAATATGATAATAGTCAGTAAGTCATAAAGTTTTATTTGTCGTAATTAATGATATTTTAATAGGCGAGCGTGAAATTGATACGCAGGGCAAAATAATAGCGCTGGCAATGGAAAACAATTATATGGAATGCCTAGATGTATACAGTAGGAGCCAAGTACGATTGTAATAATAATTAAAAATTTACTTAAAATTTTCTAAGTTGATTGCTGTACTGTACAATGTATATCTGCCCTTAAGAGTTATGATATTTCTACTTCGTAAATAGATTTGTAAATTGAATGCATCATCTGCCTTCAATTGTTGCATCATTAATTCGGGCTTAACAGTCATCGGAGGTTGCCAGGATGGCAGCTTATACTTATTTGATTTACGAAACCCAACGTGAGTCTAGTATTAGTTAGATTGATGTTGCTTATTCGTATATCATTAATAACACTTGACATTTGGCTTACTACCAGCTGTATTTCTTCGTGATAATTAAAATAGTGCTCCTTTGCAAGTTTTTTGTCGTTCCGTTTACTCAATTACGACGTTAAAATCAATATCGAAGGAGGATATCTTTGTAGGGACAGGTTAATAGCTTAATAGATAAATTAAGAATTAGTAAACGGATGTTATTGTTTTTTGCGACATTCCGTATAAAGGTCAAGCAGATTACTTTACTTTGATTGTACCAATTTAATGTATAGTTGATATGAATAACTATTAACCCTAGAATTCCATCTATTTTTTTTATTCAAGGTGACGGATGTTGTTACAAATGGAATATAGCCAAAGCATACACGGAAGAAGAGCTGATTTCAACTATAGAATTGTCGGGATCTGATTGCGATCCTATTTATGACATAGCTATCCATGAAAATAAGGTTTATAATTGTTGTAGAGATGGTCGAATTAGACAATATGCAATTCCCCTATAATTGTCACATGTTAGTCGATAGCGACAAATTTCAAATAAACTAAGGAGATTCTTCGCTGTATAATTACCAGTCAGAGACCATCAATGCAGTAAAGTTCATATTGTTTTACCATTAACGTTGCCATAATTTTGTCGTATTTCAGAGATCTCTACTAGATTCATGTATGAGCATTGGATATTATCAGTATTAGTTTTGATATGCTTCGTCAATCATCTTCAATTAAATTTATTTTCATTATACCGAGCTATGAGAATACTGTTTTCCATTAATTGTTTAAATCTATGTATAGTAACCCGTATACCGCTTGTTTCGTTTTGGCTGTTTACAGCGCTGCCTTTATTTTATTTCGATCACGTAATACGGTATTTGGATATTGCAATTAAAGCCTTCTTACTGTTTTATCTTAGTTCTTAAATTTTACGTTTTGTTTAGATAATGTCACTTTATTTATTAGCTATGGTAACTGTTTCTAATCGGCAAATACTTTACTTTCAATATTGTAATATAAGCGATGTTATAAGGGGAGGTAGATTACATATCGGGAGTGAAGGTATTATTCGTTTCTTATAGTTTTTACCCGTACCACGCGAAATATCAGCATTAAATCGTGTTTGATTCTCTCGATACAAAATTATACTTTTAAATATCATATTTGTTGCTAAGCGTGTCTATAGTTGCTAAATAACACAAAACAATGTAATTGGCATGTTATCTCCTTAGATATCTTTCCTTTAGACTTGGATAATTGGGTTGTAATAATGAAATTAGGATTGTGTATTTTTAGGATTGAATCAACATTTAAGTCCTTTAAGTAATAAATTAAATTATGATTATTATTTGTGAGCTTTTGCGTGATGTTAAGATTTATAAATGACAATGTCAATTCTCTATAAGAGTTCGTATAAGTATCTACATCCATGAGATCATTAAAAGGAAGTTATTAATGTTAAATTTAGTGCAGTACTTACGAAGTGGGAAATAACTTCTGATTGTCGTTTTGCTGGAATATTGCTTTTTTTCTTGCTTTAAAAGCTCACACTTAAGCCTTTACCATGTTCGGAAACTTTAAAATTCTGAACCGTATAAATTACCTCTAAATTCGTACAAAACTCCTGATTATTGTAAAGTATCACGAGTCAACATAATTACAATTTATCAATTTAATTATAGACATGCTGTAAAGATTTCAGCTAATTACAGCAGTTATGTGCTAGGGAATACAGTGATAGTAGCGTAATGTAGAACTGTACGTCTTAATAACGTAAGTATTGATTATGCTAATACCGGAAAGTATGAGAGCGCATTTGTAATGAGTGATACTGCATACCAATGTTTTAATAATAGTACAGTTGGATGTGTTTTAATCTTTTTCGCCATAATTGTTTTACTAGTAGGTATTTTAGTTGATAATTTTCCCTTAATGATTAAGTAAATGAGAAAATTTATACAGATAACTGCCGCTATTCAAAAATAAATGGAATTGTTTGAAAAGAGAGAAATATCATTTGCTACAAATATTAGATCGATGGGAAAATTTTGTTATGTATAATGATATCAATTAAATTCGAACAAAAGCCAACTATAATAATATGTTTTATGCTTAGTGAGTATCAGCTGCTTCTACGTAACTTTTGAAATATGCTGTTATTAGCTTATTTACTATCGTGATTTCATGAAAAGATTAAAAGCGACGATTTTAAGTGTTGATCGACAACGGTAGTTAAAATAATAAAGTTTATACATTATACGTATCCATTGTTTGATCATAAACTTAGTAATAAAAATCAAAAACAGCTTTAGGCTGATTCTCAAAAATTTTAAAATATTGAATAACATAAAGTTTAAGCATTGTTTGTTTTAGTTTACTACTCAAATTCAGACTCGGTATTTCCTACCTCATCATTTACGATATTTACAACTAATGCAAAGATAAAATCTGATAAGGCAATCTCTAATTAGTCTTAAATTTAACATCTGGAATAAGTTACATTGAGGTAAATATGTAACGTCGTAAATGAATCGAAAAAGGCTGTGTATATGAAAATTATTGATTTTAAAAGTAATTAGTTTAATTAATTAAAAACAATTTATTTCTTGATAAAGTATTATTAAAATGTGCTGTTACTTAAATATATTGCTAAATAACATTCATTTTACACTAAATTCATTGTTTAACTTCAATCCAGATTTTCAAACAGATAGATAATTAATTTAAAAATGGTAAATGAAATGGTAAAAGAGCTCACGATAATTGCCATTTTATCATACTTGAACAGATATAAACTTTACAATGGCGGAATCAAGGGACTCATTAAAATTTATATTAAACATTTGTATTAAAAATTAATGTTGAAAATTTATTCATAACAATTATAGTAAACTAGTAGTATAAGCCTTGAATGTAGTAGCAATGAGTCTGTTACAGCATCATATTGATGTCAATGATTGAATAGATGGAACTTGAGAAGATGATTGAATCTTAGTCCACAACAGTTAAGTTGGATAAAAAATCGAGCTTAAATTAAAATTATGTATAAGATACAAGTTAGAAATGTTTGCTAATAGAACGGCTAAGTAAGGAATAGCATACTTGAATATACCTAGCTTAATAAAGGTCTACGAGTATAACTGATGGATCAGAGCTATTTACCTGTAAGTGATTCCTACAGTCAATAAACAGGAGTAATTTGAGTAACAATCAGTTTAGTAAATAAGTTTTTTTATGGTTTTTGGCTATGTGTATATGAAAGACAAAAGGACGTTTCAGTTACTGGGTTATCCATGAGAGACAGGTGTGGAAGTAATTTAACTTAAAGACCTTTTACTTTTCGATACCTTGTCACAGAGTTAATTTGTGAGGACATTCTACTAGATAATTATAAGAATGGTTGAGTTGCGTATATACAGTGTTCATATGGTAGGTTTAGCGCTGTGAAAGTAAGTGATGCATATTATATACGAGTATAGTGTTAATGTGCTATATGAGATCTATGTACTAGTAACGAAAAGTGCAGCATAAATGTTTCAGTTCATTTTAGATGATTGTGGTAGGTTCAATAATTTATTTAAATTAAGCCATAGATGGGTGTTACGATTCATCATTACCGTGAATAAAAAATATTCATTCATACTTTTATCTAAAGTAGAGTTGTGATATGTTAAATCGTTAATGGATTTCTAATAGCGACTCTGACAATTTAAATCATTTAAGAAGAGCAGAATATGTAATGGAGATTTTCGCTCTTGTTGCTGTAAGTTGTTAAGTAACAATTCTAGTTGATTTGTTAATTGGAGTAAAAGTGGTAAGCACTCAATAGTAATTAACACATATTTATTCTATACTAATTATCATAAATATATTTTATACAAAATCAAGTATATTGTAAATAGAATTTTGTACTAATTTATACCGACGGAAATTGGCACAGGTATATAAGAACGTGCCTTTAATCACAGAATGAGTTCCCATATTACATTACCTAGTAGTATATTCTATACTTCGAATAAAGATAATTTATGAAGTTGTCTGGATATACTCACTGGTGAATAAGGTCTTATACTGAGCTAGTCAAGTTAATGGCGCTTATTAGCAACGGTATATTACGGTAGAGCGGTTACACTAAAAATAAAATTTGTTACTTGTGCCACAAACGACGTTGTGATAGTGGGTGATAACTATAAAATTGTAATATCGTAGTTGCAAATTGATACAGGGAGCCATGCTTGGTGCTATAATTTTAGTAGATTACTGTAATTTTGACTATTCCACAGCTTATCAGGCCTAAATATTGATTGATCAATTTACAGTTAGAGCAGTTTTAAATACGCAACAAATTCAATATATTATCGTTCATTCGGTTTAGATGCCCTACTAATATGGAACTGAAAATATATTATTATTTAGATTTCGTTAGCGAAATCAGCTCTTTTGCAAGTTAAACGATGCTATATTACCTGTTTGGAATTTAAGGTAATTAAAAAGCTTAAATTTTTAAAGTGGTTTTGATGCAACTTTAATTCAATTACGCTTATTGTAAAATGAAGAGATTTAAAAAAATCGTCACAGCATGTTAGACAGCAATTAGAATTGAATTAATTTAAATGCACGAGTTTAACTATATATTTATGTGCTTTCCGTAGATGGAGAAATATGATTAAATAGTAAGATGTAGTATGAGTACTTTTTAAATCATGAGAATATAGCTTCTATGCTATCGTATATATTAATAATTCCAAAACAACACGATAAAGTCTTAGATTTACGTAAGATAAGATAGTATAATAGGAAATATAATATGCATGTGACTAATGAAACGTCGAATGTAAATTGCTTTTGTTTGTCTTAATTGAGTTATAACTAGATTAAATAGCTTCAGGTAAAGTAGTACAACGAAATGAAACTTACATTTCCATAAATTATCGTTAATTAGCCAATCAGTAGATATATCATATCTAGGTTACAATAGTAATTTTTAAACAACGTCTTAAATCATTAAACTGAAGTTAAGAATCACAAAGATATATATAAACGCCTATCTTATCCACAACAAAACAAAGATAGTATAACTTTAGCAATAAGTTGTGACCATTTGATCTAACGTAGATTTATCTAACTTACTAATTACTGATAACTAGCAGTGGCTAATCCTAATTCCGACGTCATTCTAATCAAGTTTCATAGAAAAGATTAGATTATGGCCAACCATTAATATCGATGGTCTTCGTAATTTAATTTTGACGCTTTCAAATAGATATTAAGTAACAAAGTTCATTTGAAATGGATAAATTGCAGGTAGGTTGAAGATCGCTGCTAAATATTACAATACGATGCAGGTGGCTAAAGATATAATGTACGTAATTTTAGTCGAATTATACACTGGTTTAACATCCAATAGATTTTGGAAAAGTAGATAACGAATGATAACAAAGAGTATCTATCTCGGATGCCTAGAATAGAAATTTGAGATAGTGACAACAAAATAAGAATGGTTTAGTATTGT